GAGTAGCTGGGACTACAGGCGTGCGCCAACATGCCCAGCTAATTTTTGTGTTTTTAGTAGAGACGGGGTTTCACCATGTTAACCAGGATGGTCTCGATCTCTTGACCTCGTGATCCACCCGCCCCTGCCTCCCAAAGTGCTGGGATTATAGGCGTGAGCCACCGCACCCGGCTGCACCTGAGATGTTTGTCTTCCTTTCCCCAGATGGGCCCAAAAGCATGAGAACTGGAGGTTTCAGAAGACGAGGCAGACATGGCTCCTGCTCCACATGTATGACAGTGACAAGGTCTGTGTCCAGTGGGGAGGGCACGTCTCCTGGGGATGGAGGCCGGTGCACACTGGGGCCCTGACAGTAGAAGCCACAATATGAAAGGTCCACCCTCAGGGCCCACTGCAGGGTGGGTCTCCCAGTGCCCTTGTTCTAAGAGATGAGCAGCGTTGCCTGCTCCAGGAGTGCCACCGCCGGCCTTCAGGGCAGAAACCAACACAGGGTGACTCACAGAGGCCACCTGCCAGTGTGCGTGGGTGCCCGCCTGCCCGCATACCCACCTGCCTGTGTGCGTGTGAGGTGAGTCTACACATGTATGTGTGGGCAGCTCTCCTTTGCAGGGGCAGGATGTGAGATGGGGTTTCACAGAATGAACCAAAACAGAATTCTGAACTAAACCCGGCTGCTGGGAGGTGGGCTGGAGTTGTCCATGTCCTGTGAGGCTGGAGGAGCCCCCGGTTCTACTGAGCTGTATCCTATGGGCAGCGCCTCCTGCCTTGCCAGCTCTCCTGGCATCAATGTTACTAGATGCCAGTCTTTTCGTGCTGTGTGTGCACTCTGGGGGCAGGGAACAGTTTTCTCCTGCCTGTGCCTGTGTTTGTGGACTCTCAAAGTGGGGGCAGGCCCACTGGCCCCACTCATAGCCCTGGAACATTCCAGGCATAGCCTGTGGCCACTTGCTTTCATTATTTTGTCATTGTTGGTTCTTTGTGGGTTTTTTTTTTTTTAGCAGGGTCCCGCCCAGGCTGGAGTGCAGTGGCGCAATCACAGTTCACTGCAGCTTCGACCTCCTGGGCGCAAGCCACCCTCTGTCCTCAAAGTCAGAGGACATACACGTCCTGATTGTGAGCCCTATTGCAAAGCTCCAGTAATCACGCCACCGGGGTGGGCACAAGGCTGGAAGCAGAAGTGACTGGAACAGCCTGGGGAGCCCGGAAGCCCTCGTGCCAGGGCAGCTGTTTCCAGCATGCAGGCCAAGCCCGTTCCATGTGCAGGAAACCCCTTCCCAGCAGAGCCTGGGACAACTGGGTTTCCACATTTTGGTTTTTTTAATAAAAGTTTAGGTGGTTTTATTTATATATTACTATTACCAAAAGCAAAATTAATACAAAATTTTTATACAGAAAAATAACCCTTGACTAGGCAAAGCCATTTTTGTGTGTATACACATACACATACCCAAAGTATCTTACACCATCATAGCTGTACGTATTTACGAACAAATGTGCATTTTTACTTACATATTTTTTATTACACTTGTATTATAACCACACATGTTTACAAATATGCTAATACTTAATGCACATGACCTCTGCTTCATACCATATACAAAACTTAAAATGGATCAAAGGCTTAAATTTAATAGCTAAAACTAAAATTCTCAGATGGAATTAGAGCTTTGCTAACTCAGTAACAAGAGCACCCCTGCTGCAGGGACCTGAGGCACCTGTCTGCAGATTCACAAGTGGTCAGCAAGCCTACACAGAGGTGCCCCCACCACCAGCAGACAAGGGTCAAGCTGCCACCAGATGCCACCCGGCCACTGCCACCCAGAGCAGAAAGGCAAGCACTCTAAGTGCTGGAGCGGACAACGCCTTTTTACCTCGGCCTCCCCTTGTTTGATGTGTGTCGTCTTTTCTCATTTTTCTGAGGATTTTTGTGATGTTTTTGAAATGTTCTTCACCCCTTGTGGCGTCTGTTTTGGTCAGGTTCACTTAGTGTTTTGTCTGCCTCTAACAGGCGTTTCTTCTTCCAGTGTCTGGGGCAGGGCAGGGTCTGCGGCCAGACCGCCTGTACCCTCAGGCTGCAGTGGGAGGTCTCCTGGGGCTGGAGGGCCCCCTGGGGGCCAGAGGAAGCATAAAGGGCACGGCGTCCTTTGCCTAAGCTTCAGCGTCTTGTCTTCCGCTGCCCAGGGGCACGCCGTGCCACTGCCCAACTCCATCTCTTCCCCTCCAGGTTCCCGACGAGCACTTCTCCACCCTGCTGGCCTACCTGGAGGGGCTGCGGGGCCAGGCCCGCGAGCTGACAGTGCAGAAGGCAGAAGCCCTGATGCGGGAGCTGGACGAGGACGGTGTGGGTGGCCCCAACCCCCTCCTGCCAGGGAGGGCCCAGCGCATCCGCCAGGTGCTGCAGCTGCTGTCCTAGTGGGTTCAGCACCGGGCAGGGCCACAGCCCAGCAAAGGGCAGCCTCGGGCCACACAGGGTGCTGCTGCCCACCTCCTCTGGTGATGGGGGCCGAGATCACCGGCAGGGCAGTGGCCGGACAAGGGCATCCAGGTTCTAGGCTGGTCCCTCCCCAGCACCACAGCCTCGCAAGGACCCCCCTTCCTCCACACCCTTCTTGGGCAGACAGTTGTAACAGTGAAGACTGGTTCAGTGCCTTTGTCCCAGAGCATGGACGCTCTGGAATCACCCAGAGACACCTGGCCTTGGAGAGGCCCTCAAGTCCCGGCAACCTGCTTTGGAGGGAAATGTCTACTTTTCTCCCAGGGATATTTTAGAGATTGGGCCATGCGGCTCCTCCCGCTGGCGGCAAACGTGCACCTTCCACCTGCTCCCCCGTTCTCCTACGTGGGCCACGTTCCTGGTCCCCCACCTGTGTCCATCGAGGGGCCTGGCTGTGGCCTGTCCATTCTCCTTCGACCCCACAAAGCCTTGCTGCCAGTCCTGGGGAGGGGGAGCCCCTGCTGAGGGCTTGCGGAGTCAGATCGTGTGCCTTGCAGAAATGGTCTCTGTGGCTGCATTTGAAATAAAACCCAACCCACCAGGAGCCATGGCTCCTGCTTTGTGCGGCACATCCCCTGCCTGTGGACTGTGGAATTTGTGTCCCCCACACCAGGATGGCATTCGGGGCGCTCAGTGTGTGGCATTCCTGGCAGTGGGCGCTTGTTGACTGCTTGCGTCAGGCTGGCCTTTTCCCAGCACTGGCAGTGACACCCTGCCAGGAAACTCACTTATGCTGCACAGAATCGGGAGACACACTTCCCATTCCCAGCAGCACGTGGTTCCCACCCCCAGGTGATGTGAGCATCTGGAGGGCTGTGGTGACCACAGAGCACTGGGCAGCTGCTGGGGAGGGCCAGGTGGCCACGGCAAGGAGGTCCGTGCCCAACCAGGAGGCTGAGTCTGTTGTGTTCCAGAATGGGCCTCAGGGAGGTCTGAGGCCAGCGGCTCCAGCCTGGGCCTCCCCAGAGCAGACGTCCAGGTGCTGCTGCCACGGGGCACCTCCTGCCTGGCCCAGGTGGGGGGTTTGTGCTGCCATCTCAGTGCTCCTTTGACTGACAGTGGAGCAGAAAAGCAGCCTTGGGATAGTGGCCCAGGCTCTGGGTGCCCCCTTGGGTGCTCTGACCCCTGACAGAGCTGCTGAGACTGAGGCCACCTGCCTTGGCTCCCACCGACCCACAGAGTTGCATGCAGGCCGGGAGGCGGGAGCTTGGCCTCAGCTCCCCAGGAGCAGGGAGGCACGGGCTCCAGGCTGTCATCCTGGGGAGGGCCTGGGGCTTCCCGAGGTCCTTGCTGGCCTGGCTGGGCCTCAGCCGTGACCCTCAGGGCCTGCACCTCAGAGCGGTAACTGTGGCCTCACAGTGACCCTTAGACATCTACTGTGACTTCCGCCTTGGCTCCCTTAAGACGCCCAGAGCCAGGCTAAGATGTGGCCCAAGCCCAGGAGCTGGGTCCACACAGCCAGGGGGCCCTGGGAAGGTCAGGCTGACCACTCAGGCCGTCTCCATGTGGATATCCAGGCTAGAGGAGACCCTAAGGATCGTGTCCCCCAGGTCTCATCTGCACCCACCAAGTTGTGGGAAGGCGGTGAGGCCATCTGCTCTTCCTTGGCTAGCATCCTGCCCATCCCACCCACTGTTGTGGCCAAGATTCTGACCTCCCACAGCACAGGCCCTGCTGTGTGTGCTGGTGGCAGGTGAGGAGCCCAGGCGTTCTGGTGCCGGTCAGGTGAACTCACAAACAGGAAGGCACGCTGCACAGCACGAACCTTCAGATCTGTGAGGCAATGCCTGCGGTCGGGTCCTGGCAGCACAGCCTTGCAGAGAACCCCTCAGAAGGTTCCATGGTCACCCCTGCAGTCAGCATGCTCATTGACCGTAACCCTGGGAGGCATCTTAAACAAACACCAACACACAGCAGAGGGAGACCCACAAAGTGCAGAGAAGGAGCAGCAGCCACCAAAAGGCAGGGTCAATGGATCCTGAACCATGGCTCTGAGCTTCCCAGCAGCCAAGTCAAAAAGGGAAATGTGGGGACTGCTGAGTCCTCACCAAAAGCTAATGGGAAAAGGTCTTGAAGACCTGGCCCTCCCTTTCGTCAACACACATGCTCCCCTGACACCAGCTGGGGAGTGCTCTCCTATCAAGGGTTCCCACCTCTGTGGATTGTTAAGTGCCAAGCTCCTCCAGGGCTCCCTGGAGAAAGGTGCTGAAGGGTGGCACAGAGATGTCACCTGGGACACAGCTGAGAGAACCACGCAGGGCCTTGAGGTCCCCCTACCCCCTGCAGGTCAGCGAGGGCACCCACCCATGCAACCTTGGGGCCCAACCACATGGGGCCACCTGTGCTGGGGCTACAACTCCCTGTCTCGGCTGGCACTTGTGCTGAACTCCCAAGCCAGGAAGCCTCCAGCTAAGGAAGCCCCACTACCACATGGAGACGACACTCATGTCTGTCCCTGGGCAAGCACTCCTCACGGTGGAGAGGACAGCTGCTGACCCGCAGCAAGCTGGGTGGATCGGGACTCATGCCAAGTGAGGGGCCAGACCCCATTGCAGGCATGCGTGCTGTTCCCTTTGCATGCATCCAAGGCCATAAGCAATCAGCTGTGATAGAAAGCATATCTGGGCTGAGCTCAGGGAGGAATGTCCCCTGCAGTAGGTACCAAGGTGTGTGCAGGAGTCAGAACCACCAAACTACACAGTGATACCTCCTGCCAGGCGCTGTGGCTCATGCCTGTAATCCCAGCACGTTGGGAGGCAGACACGGGAGGATCACTTGAGCTCAGGAGTTCGAGACCAGGCTGGGCAACATGGCAAAACCACCCCCCTACAAAAAATAAAAAATTATTCAGGCATTGTGGCATGTGCCTATAGTCACAGCTACTCAAGAGGCCAAGGTGGGAGGATGGCTTGAGACTGGTAGGTCGAGGCTGCAGTGAGTGAACAGTGGTTAAAAAAATTTTTTTAATCAAAAAGAGCAGTGTTTGGAAGTCAGAATCACATTGCCTGTGGGGGTAAGCAGAGATCTATGGAGACGGGGGCTTTTCCGGGCAAAGGGGTCTCCCTGACATTGGGGGTGTGGATGACACTGGTCAGAGCAGGTCGGAGACCCCTCACAGCACCGTGAGACTTCTGCAAACTGGGCCCTGACGCAGCCCGCCCTGCCCTCGGAGGAAGCCTCTGGGCAGTTTCTTGCAGGATTGATGTCTGAGAAACAGCTCACACTGGGTGCTGTCTGCTGACTTCCACCAAGAAAGACAGGTTCAGGCACTGAACCACCCCTCAGAGCACTTTCCTCCCTCCAAGCCCCCAAGACAGTGGCATCTTTTCAAAGACAGGTCCTGCTTCGTCGCCCAGGCTGGAGTGCAGTGGCATGAGCTCAGATCACTGCAACCTCCATCTCCCAGGCTCAAGCGATTCCCCTGCCTCAGCCTCCTGAGTAGCTGGGACCACAGTTGCTACCACTTCACCTGGCTAATTTTTGTATTTTTTGTAGAAACGGCCTCGCTGTGTTGCCCAGGCAGGTCTCAAACTCCTGGGCTGAAGCGGTCCTCCGCCTCGACCTCCCATGGTGCTGGGATTCCACCATGAGCCACTGGGACTGGCAGCATCTGTTTCTGGATGACTCAGTACCCAGCATTCACATCCCAGAGCCTCAAGCTGATCTTCCAGCAGGGTCCAGCACTGTCTGCTCCCTACTCCCATCCCTCGAGCACTTGCCGCCCCCACTGGGCTCTTTCTCTCTCTGCCTGTCCCTGCCTGTCTCCTCACAGACCAAGTGGCACCACCTGCCATCCATCCTCCTGCTCCAGTCACAGTCGCCCTGGCCCGGTGCCCTCCAGTGGCTCCCAGGGAACGGGCGCTCTCTCCACTATGCCTTCCAGCTGCTCCCCCTGCCCTGCCTGGGTCAGGCCACCCCCGCTCACTGGGACCTGAGAACTGCTCACACCGCTGCTGGGTACATGGGTTTCACAGGTGAGAAAGTCCAGCGCAGCCTCAAACCTCGAAGAGTCATCAAAGTTAGGACCCTTCAGATTCCTCCAAGCCTCACCTCGTCACTCCCATGGCCCAGCAGTCAACAGCCACGGGCCACCCACCCACTTGTTACCCAGCAGAAACTATCAATACACTCTCTGACTTTTGACACCCTAGGACTTTGCTTAGATTTCACAAGGGCCTGGATCCAGGCAGGAGGAGTGGGAATTTGGCCAGTGATGGGCCTGCCTTGGGGCATTCGTGAGAGCCGCCCAGAGAGTGCTGGGCGCAGGGCTGAGCTGTCCAAGCCCCACTGACCTCCAAAGCCTGGTGAGCCCACCAAGCCCTCCCACCGTCCAAGGTGGGAAGAAGACCCCTGCTCCGAGGGAGCCCCGGGCAATCACTGGGAGGGTCGAGGTCCCAGAGTGAGGTGGGCTTCCAGCCTCTGGGTTCCTGGGCAGAAGTCTCCTGATAGGGGCTGCCCACCCCATGGGAGAAGCTTCAGGAAATCTGGCCACGGCTGAACCAAGACCCTGCCACACCGGACGCGGCCTCAGCCCCTGCATGTGTGTGCCCTGCGGGTGTGGGTGGGCGGTGGTATGGCAGCTCCCTTGGGTTGTATTTAATGATATCTCCATGGGTAGAGCTTCGTCTCCTCCCACGCTTAGCCCGCCCAGCACTCTGCGGCGGCCTCACCCTCTGAGCTGGCTGTGGGAGGTTTGCAGGTGGCTCAGGGACTGTGTGGTTTTGTTTTGCCTTGACTTAGGAGGGTAATTGGAGGCACATGCCACATGGCTGAGGGCCAGCCTCAGACCCAGAAGCAGATGTGAGGCTGAGAGCAGCCCACCCACCCCAGGAGAGTCTTCCCCTGGAGACCCAGAGGCAGGGGGTGCAGAGGCTGGGGTCAGCGTTTCCCCTGCTGCTGAGGACAGGCATTAAGGGAGCGGCTCAGCCATGTCATGAGTTGTGGGGACCATGCTGTCCGCCCCTCCCACGATATGTGGGCACCGTGGGGTGGATGTCCACAGAGGCGTCTCCCAAAATCCACGCATGAGGAAGCTGGGCTCTCTGGCTGCCCACCACCTGAGTTCTCTGGAACCCTTAAAAAGGACCCCCGGGGCAGGTTCGTGGATAAAGGAGGACAAACTCACCACTCCCAGAGCCCTCACATCCACAGACCCAGCAGGGAGGAGGCTCTGGAGGTGACCTGGTGACAGCACAGCACGGCGAATGTCCCTGTGCCCCTGAACTATGTGCTTAAACATGGCCGATGGTGAATTTTCTCTACGTGTATTTTATTAGTTTTTAAAAATACCAACCAGAAAGAAACACTTGCAAATGAGGCATAGGCAGTGGCCTGCCCCAGCGTTCTCCAGCAAGCCCCCAGGATGTGCCTATGCCCCCAGCCGGCAGCCTGTGTGCAGCTGTGAGAAACGGGAGCACCCAGGTCTAGCTGGTCGAGAAGGTGGTACCTCCAGGGTTCGGGCCTCACTCAGCCTCCCCTTCTCTCCCACCTACCCCATACCCCTGCCCACGCCCCTGGGCAGGAGTTGAATGAGATCTGACAGCTGCTCACTCTGTTTTCACTAAGTTA